CAACTTGGGCGATTTGCTCCCTCAGCAGCGGGGGAAAAAAACCACCTGGGCTGCAAAGCTGCACACCTAAACCACGCTGCTCTTCAAGGAGAATCCAGCCTTTGCTTTGCATACCCGTGGCTGCTTGCGCCTGGTAACATCAAAGTATGATCCTGTTTACCAACCAAGAAACAGGCAGGGTGGAGGCATGAACCAGCCCACGCTTTCAACAAGACACCCAGACTCTTCTGCACTGCCTAACACTTGCCTCCCTGCCCCCTTGGTTGCCCTTAAATTACACCAGCATGAGCTTGAAGAGGTGCAGGAGGTAAATGTCTGACACTCCTGACTAGAATACGAACACGACTACGATTACAATAGAATAATTGCAGTTGGAAGGAACCTACAACAATCATTGAGTCCAACTGCCTGACCAATTCAGGGCTGACCAAAAGTTAAAGAATGTCATTAAGAGCATTGTCCAAAAGTTGCTTAAACACTGACAGGCTTGCGTCATGGACCACCTCTGTTCCAGTGTTTGACCATGCTCTTGGTACAGAAATGCTTCCTAATGTCAAGTCTGAACATGTCAAGTATTGTAGCCATTTTAAAGAAATGTGCTTTTGATTAGCAGTGAAACTGGGAGTGCTGGCAGGTCCCAAACTACAGGCGATCATCTTCCATAGAGTTTTATTGACAGGGTATGGAGCTTCTGCTAGTACTCCACACACCACCTTTATAAATAATCAACCAGCCTCACAGCTGAAAATACATCAGAAAAATGTTCAAGACAACCATTTTGGACAGTGCTGTCCTATACTAATGTCACAGCTCTCTGACTTCTACTTAAAGATGCTTGTCTTTCATCTTCACACTCTTCTGCTAACTTCTTACATCTGTTATCAAGCATTCAGGGCTCAAGTTTTTTTGGCACAAGGACTGGTTTTCACTACATCATATTAAATTTGTTTTAAACTCAGTTTTTATTTTAAATAATTTTCAACTTTTGTTTTCATGCCTTATTGTAACAAAAGCAAATACATCCAAATTCACCAGAATGTTTTATATTTAAGATTTTGAAGTTTCATTTAAGAAACACACAAAGTATTTCATGCTTACATAAAGTGCATAAATTACATGCTTATACATCCATTAAAATTCAAAATGTTAAATCTCACTGACCCTGTTACTATGCATTACTGACATATTATTAAATAATCTAAGAAAAAATATTAAGAAAAGGATGTGTGGAAAAGGAATCAATTTAGGGAGCGACAGCTTTGCAATAAATCTTGCAAAGACTTCTTTCAGTGAATCAGTACTTCCCAGTGCAGAAAAAAAAATAATATTTAAGCAAAGAAGCAGCTGAAGTCTATAGCTGCCTTTGGAGTAAGCAGGTCTCAGTATGCCTCGCATCCTCCTGTCATCCATGACAGCTCAGGTAATTCCTGGCCACAGCTCAGTCCACAGAACCCAGGAGCAATGCATTCCAGCACAATTATTCTACCACCTTTTAAATGTACCTGCTGAATTTTGTCTTCTGTTCATAATCCTCAATCCAACCCTGAAATGGACAACAGGTGAGAAAAGTTCCTCGTCTGCTTCTCCATGTGTCCTCGGTGTGAAGTCTATGAACTGCTCCTGTACTTGCTGCGGTGCTGCCACTGCGTGCAGTTGCAGCCAGCACCACCCTGCTGGGAATCTCTCCTTGGCTCATTTTTCCTAGCTGCAAAACCAAATCAAACCTTTCCCATCATAGGGCCAAATCCTGCCAACAAGTAACTTGATCCTTAAGATTGGATCCCTACTGAAATTCCCTGTAAGGATCACATTGCTCTGGACTCCTGTCACCAGAAAAACGTGATCTGTGCACACTAACTGCTGTCAGGATCAGGCTCATACCTCCTGGGTTTGGCTGAATGAAATGCAAGCCGGGTTTTACAGTGATTTCAAAAGCAGATGAGAAAACATTTTTACTCCATGCAGCATGGCCTCATTCCTCCAGGGAATGTCATGTCTCCTGTGCTGTGTACAAAAGTAGCTTTGTATTATGTCCCAAGACTTTAAAAGCACCAACAGAACAAATTTCACCTCAGAAACCTACTTTGTTTGGGGTTTTGTCTCCTATTCCTTAATATAATCACCAGAAATTGATGAAAAGCTTTTTATACTGCAGTAAGATTTACTGCTTACTGGTATTACTAGCTGTGACCCTTCCCACATGTCTCTTCATTGGGAGGGGCCTGACATTAACCCTTAATGCTGCCATCAAGGACACATCAATAAAAACACCGGCAAACATCAGATTTAAGTACCAATTATTTTAATCTATTTTCTTCTGGTCTAAAACATAACAATCACCTCTGTCTAGAAGTAAATAACATAGGTACCACTAAGATACAATGCACCTTTTCTCCTTTTCCCATGTTTGTACTACTAAAAAAATTTTCCTGCATTGACTTCTATTAAGGATCTTGGTATCACAGCTTTTTTTATCAGGTAACAGCAAAGACAATTCCCTACCTCCTTCAGAATGAACCCAGAGGCAGGTTAGATAAAGGAGACATCTGAGAACCGTTGGGTCTAAAATCACCAAACTTCACTCCTGTTCTGAAATAACAGGTTCACCAAACCATCTGTCAGTAGACACAGACTTAGGAATCTCTTAACTGGGGCCAGTCTTTAACAGAAAGCAGTAAGCCAATGCAGGGCTACCAGCTCTAGTGGGAAAACCGTATGTGTAACTTCCTCCATGCCTGTGAAATTCATATTTAATCCCAGCTTTCTAAGAACTGGAGATGATTCAGTGCCAAGAAGCAGGTATTTCCTTCTGGGTCCTTTAACATAGGTATCTTCTTATGTTGAACATCAAACTTGTTCAGCCTGGTCCCACAACCCTGATATGATGTGATCTCTAGCCAGCACTGGATAAATATCTGCACTAGAAAACTCATGCTTTCCATGTCTACGCTTGGTCTTAGATGAAAATTAGCTCAGCTATAATCCAAAGGAGCCCTTTTATGGGCTGCATATGCTTTGGCAGCCTGCCAGCAGTACTCTTCTAAAGCCATCCAGCAAAGTGACACCATCGGTTATAAGAGCTATGTGTGTCAGGTCACTGGGTTATGAAACAGAAGTGTCACAAGCATGTGAGGACATGGTTTGGGCTCTACTGTGAACAAAAAATCAAATTATTTTTGTGGAATAAGATTACTACCTTGGGATATATTCCAGTGGGAAAAGGTCACTGCATTGTAATAGCACTTCTACTGGGAAACAGGAGTTCCAGTATTCTTAATTGTTAAAAATTCCTGTAATAGGTGAAGATGTAAATCAATGGGATGCTACTGTTATACTGCAGCTAGCATGATGGTGAGGTACTGTGTGTTTGGATGGAAAAATCCAGCTCAGACTGTACATTGCACTGTGTTGGCCTATAGTAATAATCATAAATCACTCTTTCCACAGGAAATGACAGCAACACAAAATGAAAACCATGAAAATAAGCAGTATGACTCTCCCACGCGTTACTTCCTAGTAACACCTAAGAACACACACATTTGTAGCACACTTTGAAAAAGTCAGTTCTATCACAGAAGTATCAGGAACAATGAGTGTGTATCCCTCTGAATCAGTCCTCCTGGCATTCAAACAAAACTGAGGACCAGGAGAGTGACAGAAGCTGGGAACTATAGTACAGTCAAAAAAAAAAAAAAAAAAAAAAAAAAAAAAAGAATTAAGCCAACATGTGTAAAGCATCGTTACACTGTGCTGATTCAAACAATGCAACCTGCATGGGTATTTTTAAAATACACTCTATGGCAGAAAGAACAACAAACTCTCAGCTCTCAAACCCCAGTATCTTAAACTATACAGGTATATGTGAGAAAAAAAAAAAAGTGCCCAAGATCAATAACCACCTTGATTTAAACTTGAGAAACACTGCTAGGGTAATTGCTGTTTCATAACTGCACTTCTGTAGTGGTCAGTTATCACTGACTATGGTGGTAACCACTTGGTGAGAAAAAGAGAAAAAGCAAAGTAATACTAAACAGTAAAGCATAAGGGGAAAAAACCCCACAACAAAACAATAAACATTAAAAGAAGGTCAGGCGAATATAAAAAAGAAAGAAGGAAAATTACACAGATACTGATAAAGGTTTGGAATTGCTCAAGAGATTACAGGCAGTCCATCATCCCCAAACCCCCTTCTGCTCTCCCCTCTTCTCCTTATCCTTCTCTGCAAATGAAAATGTAACTTTTATTTATGCCTATACATAAGTGCTGAGAATCAAAGGCATTACACACAGTTTTTGGGCAAGCCACCACATTGCAGAAAAACAAAAAGGCCATTATTTGGATGGAGAAATCAGTCTGTGTTACTGACTTGACTGGCCCCTTTTTTATTAGCAGCTGTTAAAGCAAGGATGAGAGTGTGTTGGGGTGGTGCAGCTGTTCTACATATGTTATAAATAAGGGTTGGTAAAAGCTCATCCTATTTTTAACATCATGAAATAAACCAAGAAGTCACAGAAATTCCCCATTAATGCCTTGTAAGTGGAACTTTTCTCCTATTCTTGACTTTAATGCCCAAAACTGAATGACAAAACAGGCTATTCTTAAAATAATATTCATTAAAAAAAGAAAAGAAAATGCAATTTAGTGGAATTAGACCAAGCCAGCCTGGATAATATAACCAATTAGTGTGTACAGTGTCTTTTCCTTCAAAAGCAGACACTTAATCAGGATGAAAACAAACCCCTGAGATTCCATTTCTAATAAAAATGTTGGATTACCACACCAAAGAGTTTCTCTAGCACAACCAAAAGCTGAACCCAGCACCACACAGCTCAGACACCACCACCCACCCTTCCCAAACTGGTGCTCGCTTGCTCCTCACTGGGTTGCTGTGTGCGGCCAGAGCCCATTGCCAGCTCCTGGTCATCAACCCCAAGCTGAAAAGGTCAACGACAATTCAACACGAAGGCAAAAACCAAGCCCCAGGCAAATCCCCCACTCACCTGTTTTCGGGGTCTGACACAGACATGTTGCGCGTCACGTAGCACATCTTGAGCGGTATTGTCTTCTTGTCTCTGTGGAAGGAGAGCGAGAGCTGCGACAGTGGGTCAGCAGAGCCACAACCCAAGCGGGGAGATTCGGGGGGAGGCGTCTCCCACCCAATTTCTGAAACAGGGGAGCCTTTCTTCACATAGGGGGTTGCTTCTCTCATGTATTTCACTATGGAAAAGAAAAAAGAAAGAAAAAGGAAAATAATTAAATAAATGGATATTCAGTAGTTGCATCCCATGTGAGTTCTCTGAACTGGTATCAACCCTCAGCGCACCTTATTATTTCTACTTGTGCAGCATCATGGCATTGGAAACTGTGCAAATACGGAAGATTGAGATCTGACTGCTGCTAATCTCAGTATGGCAATGAGTAAAACAAGGGAAAAGAACAGAACAGGCGAAATAAGAACACATAGATAGTGTAGGACTGGGAGAGCCATGCAACCTCTACTTGACAGGCTATAAATCCTCATGCAGCAATTCCTATGTACTGAAGCTGTGAGCTGGCTAAGATATAGGGTATTTTTAAAGAAAGACATTCAATCAAGTGACAGTGAATCTATTATTCCCCTACCTAAAATGCTCCAGCAATACTCCCAGTGCTGCAAACTCACATCTCGCTTCCTGTTCACGCCTGTCAGTGTCCTGCCACTGATCTCAACAGCTGTTTCTGCTTGCTGAGAAGATCTTTTAGCTGATCTACTTGTACATATATATATATATATATATATAGAGAGAGAGAGAGAGAGAGAGAGTGTAAACAAACCCCTTTCACCTCTTACCCTTCTCTTGAGGAAATACAATTGAGTTTTAGCTTTTTGTGAGAGTGGAGGTGCCAGATTAGATCTCAGTCTCTTCCAATGTTTTTGTCCAGTATGGATAGGAAAAGTAAATGTGGGATTCCCAAATGATCCTAATGGATTCAAAAATCAATACCTCTTTTACACTTCATATTCCCCTCTATGAAGGCAAATATTGCAACGTTTTCCCTGGTTTTGAATGCTTTTGGCAGTTCAAGATCACTTTTGCTTCTGCTTTTTATGTGCTTGGCAAATCTGCCAGCCAGAGTCTCCTCCTCCTTCACAAACCTGATGGAGCTCAACCACAAAAAGACTTCATGTTTAAGCACCCTGGTTAAACATATACATCCAATGTACACAGCTGTGGCTGCCTAATTGGCTATTGCCGCTTGATTGTACCCATGACTCAAACAGCGATGACATGAACCGAAAGGGCAGGAGCACTATGAACTTATTTGGAGAAGTTATTAAAATGTTGTGAGAGAAGATTTCAAAGAAATGGTGCAGATCATCGTGTTAGCTCAGATGAAGAAGCTGGGAATGAGTGAATAACAAAAAGATGGGTAAATGACAAAAGGGCATTGTGGTGAAGGAGGTTAAATTAGGAAAAGCAGACTGATGTTTTTAAGTTCAAAGTGAAAGCAAGGGAAGTGTATTCAGAGGAGTGGAGAAGAACAACGGTGTATCTGTCAAAGCCACAAATAAGGCAAGAGACACTATTTTCAAGGCACTTCATAACAGCTTTACCAAGAGAGTACAAAACTAGAGTCCAGGTTCTGTAAGCATTTATGGCCATCTCTTCTCCAAAACACCTTAATGCACATCTTGCCATTCTCTCCCTCCTTTTAAAAAAACCTGTTAACTTCAATTATAAGGACTTCTGCACTGAGGTATTTTAAAGAATGTTCTTTGTGAGAAGGATCATTTGTGATTTATCAGAAATGCTGTTCTATCCAACGCTGCTGGTTTGATTTCTTTTCCCATACTATTCTGAGTAATTCTTGAAATTAATTTCTTCCGTGCTCAGGGAAGAGCTGGCACAGGATTCTACCTGGGTTCCAGAAACTATTTAATGCAAAAGGTGTTGAGACTGATTTTTTTGATCTTTTTGTCGACACCTACCTGAAGTCCATTATCTATAAACCTGTGTCACCTGACTCTCAAAACCAGTGCTCATTCTTGGGTACTTCATAAATTGCCTAATCTTCAAAGGTGCTGAAAATAAGGCGGTTTATGTCACACACACACTTTTAGCAGCTGGCTTCTCAGTTTGAATGTACTCATAGCCTTCATGAAACAGAGAGACTGAACACATACAGATGTGGTGAATCTATTCCTGTTTACACTGAACAAATCTAACTTTGTCATTAACTTAGATGGGAGGAACAGCTGAAGCTGTTAAAATCATGTTTTACTGCAAACAAAATTTTGTTCCCTTTAGAATTAGAGATTATCAATTAATATGTTGAAAAAAGTACTCCAGTCAGCTTTTGAACTCCATTACAGTGATGTGCCAGCAAATGTGATGCTAAATAAAGGTCCAGGTCTCAATAGTGTAGCTATTTCATCCATTCTATTTTCATCCTTCTTCAGCTGCAGCTATATGCATTCGCCTCTAGCATCTTTTAATTAAGGGAGAGAGGGGCAGGGGGAGGAAGGAAGCTGAAGTGAAAAATTTGGCTCTAAATCTAAGCAGAAACACAAAATGTGAATTTAATTCCCCAGAGACAGGGACAGAAGAGAAGGGCCGTCCCTTCCATGTGCCAAGAAGCCAAGTTTCCATGCGACGCACTAGTGAATTCATGGCAGACAGCTGCAGTGTTTCAGAAACTCCCATTGAAGAGGAAGCAGGAGATGGAGAGAGCAGAAACACAATCCTCTTTCCACAAACTGAGACTCAAACACCACGAAAGCCAAGAAAACTACTGTGAGGAAAAACATCCTGTGAAAACTACTGACACCTGAACTCCCAGACATCTATGTTCTACTCTCAACAGGAGATGGTTGCTCAGCCCCAGAGACTTACACGAATAAAGACCCATTAATATACTGGTAAACTGCTGAACACCATAGTCCTACAAAATTCTACAGAATTCAAAAGTAAAGTGAATGTAGGTTTTCTGTCCAAACAAAAAAGGATTTTAGCAGTTTTCTACTAATTACTTCCTACTTCCCACTAAATACAAGCACAGCTATCTAGACTCATCACTGAATTCTGATGGGTTTTACAAACCAGACTTTATGGCTCTTGCATATTCAAATGTGTTTCACATTTTAAAATAAGTCCCCAAATGGATACATATAAATACATAAATGGAATATGGGAGTGGAACAGGTGGCAGAACTTAATCCATTTATACAATTTTTTGTATTATTTAAATTTCAGAGCAACTATTTTCCATTTGCCCCATCAATATCCATAATTACATGTCAAATCCAGTTTATAGCCAAATCCAGTTTATGCATTTAGCTGAAATAAGGCTCACACTGTTCAGATGATTCAAAAGTTTTATCAGTAATTATTTCCTATTCACCTCTAAATTCTGGATGCAAACACTGCAGAACACTGTTTTATACCAATGCATCGGTAACCCTACTACACACACAACAATTTCTGGTGACCCCACACATGTCTATATTTGCAGTCTGTCCATTAACCAGTTCTTAATCCACATAGTAGAAAACAAGTTGATATCAGTATCTATTAGAGGCATATTCTTATTCCACACTGCACTATCTCAGAATCTTAGATGCAGCAAAGTTAATGCATAACTGAAGTTATACAATTCACTTCCATCATCAAGTTTTAAAACCAAAAAACAATATGATACAGACTATTGGACATTAATATGTGGATAAAATTCTGTTTTCAGAGCATTACACTCAAGAGCAAGATCTCCCTTTGGATACAGTAGCACAAATCCAGGTACCTCCTGAAATTAAAAAAAAACAGCTATAGAGAACAATGACACTATCTAATGGATTAACTCCCCAAAATATTTAATAAAATTAAATAAGGCATGCCATTGTATAACAACTCTGAATTATGTATAACTGCTTTATAGGCATGTGTATAGATATGTGCCTTCAGAATAGATACACGTCTAATATATATACAAACAATAAATACGTATTTATATTAAAATGCTACATTCCTTAAGACCACCAGAATATACTCTGCAATTACAGAAACCAACATGCAGGAATTGATAAAAACTTCTAATGATTTCATTATTATAACTCAATTTACTGATAGACTGTAATTTCAGTCGAAAGTTGTCTAAACTCATCCGTTTGATGCTACAGCTCAACCTCAGAGATCCTTATATTCAATACTAATTAATGATCCATGCCCTTTTGGTGCACCACTAATAAGAAACTGCAGTCAAGCAATTAAAATTCCAATCTCCAAAGCGCCCCTCCCCACAAAGAGGAAGGAAAGTGGCAATCAAATGAATTAATCCATGGATACACATTGAAATATTTCGCATTTATTTTTTTTATCTGCAAGACAGGCAATGTAGCTTCCAAGAAAGCACTTCATTTATATTCACTTCTGCCAAGTCCCAAGTCTCCACAATTAATCCTTTATTACTGTTCAGAGATTACTTTTGGAGGGAGAAGAAGCAGGCTTTTAATGAGAAAAATACTACAGACCAACTTGGTCAGGTTCTTGGCCAGACACATTTCTGAGGAACTAGGACTCTTCTGACACATTCAAACTGTTTCCTAGGAGGGAAGACAAAGACCACTGAAGAGAAGCCAGCACTCCCAAGCAAAGCTCTTTCGTTACTATAGGAATGGGGACAGGATGCGTAGGTTTACAGTGTGAAAGCAAAAGGAACAACATGCCCAAATCTGCTCAAAGAGATATGTTCAAGGAATTCCCCTTTACAGAGGAAAACCACAGTCTCCTCCTTATGCATTCGTTCTCTCCTAAGTAACTACCAGAGACAATTACCAAAGGTAAGTAGAAAATATCACACAGATACTTCTTGAAGCTATTTTCAAAGGATTTGCTAACATTACTGATACCTATATCCAAAAAAGACAGTTTTTCCAAAGTTCCCATAAATCCATCTTCATCTGGTCTGGTTTCTAAGTAGGCCCAGAAAGGAGGAGTTAGGCAAGTCCTCCACCATACTTAAGATGTTTTAGGACTGTAGGGATCAACCTTTGGAGTCACCAAAGCCCACAAATTGAACATGATGACATTAATTGATTTTACCAGTTTATTCAGTATGAAGGGACTGTTTGACTGGTCTGTGCTAAAGCGAGTACATCAGACCATCTGAAAGAGTACTGTGGGCAGAATGGCATACAAAAACTTTTCTTGCAGAAATGATTCTTAGTTTGAGAAGAGCTGCTAATACAGAACTAGAGGAAGCCCAACCTGCAGGTATGCAGTTCCCACCTGGAAAGGAGGAAACAAATGAAGACAAACACTTCTGAGGTTGTAGACAGCACCACTACAAGTCCAAGTGAATAACTCGGACATCTAATAGCTGCTGAAGTGATACTCTCCCAAGAAAAAATAAGTGAATGGTAGCAAAACCCAGAAGTAATCACTGCAAGTATGTCGTCTTCAGAAGGTCAGATAAGCCAAGCAAGTCTGTCACTCAGCACGCTTCTGTCATTTTGCTTCATGAAACACCAAAACACAAAATTTGCAGTCTAGCAGTTTTGGTAAGGCACAAACCAAAATGACCCAAATGGTTTCAAAGCGAGTTGTAACTGAAAGGAGGAGTATTGCCATTAAATTTATAAACTGCATCCAATCAATGCCAACATAAATGCGGAGTATTTTACTCTATTGTCAATGGAACTGAGATACACAGAACTGGAGAAAGGTCTACTGTATTAAAATTAATTCAGTATCATGATACCAGAATTTGTCTGCTAGGTTTAATGGAAATTTGAACTGTAACATAAAACTCAAGCAAACCACATGCCCTAAAGTGAAGATAAAAACGACTTGAGAATCTGTCCAACTGCTGGTGCCATCATCAAAACTAAGATCCAAATACTTGAAGAAAAGAGTTAATGAATCAGATCATCTATGAAGATATGTGGTATGATTCTTCCTACAGCTTTAATGTGGGCATAAACAAAAAAACAGTGAACAGTCCTGCTTATGAGTGTTTCCACTCCATTTTTTACAGAAATG